TCAGCGCATTCACTTAGGCCGTTGACGTCAAAACTGCACCCATTAAAATTCAGCTGTACTTTCGAATTTGATTAGTGCAATGTTTACACGAGTTTGGTTTATCACAATATAAAAAAAATTTGAAGAAGAAAAAAAAAAGTGAATTTTTTGAGAAAAACTTTTTTTTCTCAGTATTTAAAAAAAAAGTAATATTGAGGACTTTTTACTAATTTTTGAGGCCCCCAGAAAGTGTGGGCCCTAGGCCCGTGCCTATTGGGCCTAGGCGATAATCAGGCCCTGACTGCCGGTCGATTAGCCGCTCTCGCCGCAGGTGAAGCACTCGGATTGTGAGTTCGATCCTGGTAGTCGCATAAACCATCGGCGTGTAAGCGCAGTTAGGGACGCATCTACCATGGCTGAAAGTCCTCTCATTGGTGGTGGTGTGGAAGTTGGAAGAGAGGGGTACCAGCTGAGGCATTGCTTATGTCGTTTTACCGAGGTCAAAATTACGTGGCATTCCACCATTGGGGGATATGATACCCGGTTCTGGATATGAAATATAATTTTATTTGAGCGTTTAGTATTATTTAGGCGGGACCTTGAAATACAAAATTCTCAACTTCAATGAGCCACTTATAAAATATACAAAAATAAAATTTGAGTAAAAATAATATGTCAAGTTTTTTGTTTTAAGATATAAAATTGTAAAAAGAAGAAGAAAAAACGCGTCTCTTTTTCAATTATAAAGGCAAAAATGTGGAATTTTAAGTAAGTCATTTTCCGAGAGACTGAGCCAAAATGTTTTAGTATGAGGAGCCTCGCAAAGTCTAGTAACGGTTCTGATCAGAACAGACTCAGGAAGAAGATATGCAAATTAGGAAAAAACGTTTAAAGTACCCAAATATTTTTGGAGACCAAATTTTTATATTTTTAGTTTAGAATTTTTTAATATTGATTTATGTAATAAATCATGCACTAAACCGTGGTAAAAACAAATCAAAACTTAAAACATTTTCTTTTTCAAATGGGAGGAAGGAAAATTCGAAAAAAAACGAAAAGTATTAAAAGTTTCTTTAACTAAAATTCATTTCCATAACATCGCAGGTATTTCGCAGGCAAGTAAAACATTAGCTAGAAAAATAAAAAAAACGGAAAATTTCTTCCTATTTTTCACATAAGAAAATAGAAAAAACTGTTCTCATTTCCATTTTATTTTAAATCTTTATTTTTTAGCGGTTTTTTTTTCTATTAAAATGTATATTTTCCTCTTAAGCTAAGGTGGGAAAAAAATCTGCAGATCTACAGCTCCCGTTATCGTGCTAGAAGATTTTTGCTATTTGTAAAATAAATCGTAACGTTAGGGAAGGGCAATACAATAGACGTAACATTTATTAAAAAAAAAAAATTACAGCTAATATTGCATTGCACTTAGCAAAAATAATGAAAAATACTAAAAGTTGTTGTTTTAATAGGGTAATAAAATTAAAAAAAGTTTGATAAGTTAGTGCGTACTTTATTTATCTACATAACTTGTGGAGAACATTTACAAAAACGGACAAATAAATTATAAGGTATGACAATAGAGACCAGAAGAAATTACGAGAAAACACGTTTTGAGATTATGTGCAATACAAAATGATCGAGTATGTTAGCGTCCTATAAATTGATGTTTTTATTTTTTAATTTTGCTCTAATTGAGGTAGAAACAAAATTCAAATGGTGTTCAGGAGAAAAAAATGATTTTTTTTTTCATTTTATGCAAAGATCTTAAGTTTTATGATTTTGATACCTTAGGCTTGAACAAAAGCTTTAAAATATATTAATATTTTGCTGAAATTGAACTGGGCTTTAACGCGAACAGATGAGCCTTAGTAGCTCAGGGGATGGAAAACTCACCTCCCAATGAGGTGACCCGGGTTCAAATCCAAGCGATGGCTGGTCGATACGAATTTCACCTTCAGCTCGCATCGTCCGGATTATGGGTTAGTCCCCCTTTTCGTCAGGCTAACGGTGAGAGGTTTTTATGGTTCTACTCTCAATTGTAACACAAATGCTGGTTAGTTCCAGCAAAAAATTCTCCTAAAGGACAAATTTCTCCCAATTGTTGATCCGCGAGCGTCATTGTCTTCTAGCTTGGGTTCAAAATTACGAAACTATAGAGGTGAACATTGGTAGTCATTAACTCAAAATTAGGTCGGCTGTTCAACAACGGTTATAGAAATAAAATAGTTCAAATGCTTAAAGAATAAGTAAACTGTTTTAATAATTACCATCTTGAAGGTATTTTCCCACTTAAATGAAAACTGTTAAAATCAACGAATTCTAAGTTTTTACAAATTTTTATACGTTAAAACAATGCAGTATTTGGGGACTTAATCTTAAATTTGCAAATTAATTTGAGGAGACGATATTTAAGTTACGTACTTTCTTTGATAATTTTTATTTAAAGTATTTGGATTTTTGACCCTCAAAATATAGATTCGCGATCTGTAAAATAGGTCCCTAAAGTTTAGGCAAGAAAGTTAGGGCTCTGTAATTTCAGTTTTACTTTTTGTGTATTTTGTGCATTATTGTTGGAGCTAATGATATATAACAATATACTAACACTACGTATGAGGGTGCAAGAAGGCAATTGCAACAAGAACGAACAGTAATAAACAAATAAAAAGAGGACAAATCGGGACTGCCAAAAAAGATAGCTCTTTCTAAATCTAGCAACCATATCACCCTTTGTAACAATACATCTCTAAATAACGAAAGCAAATTTTCACTTCAAACTAACCCGAACTACTTAATATCACTAATGTCCTGTGAAATACAACAAATTTGAGTTCAGAAATAACATTTTTTTTTATTGAAAGCAAAATTTTCTGTTTGAAAATGGATGGTGTTTTCAGAAGAAATGTAAACAATAACAATCTCGATAATTTTGTTTTCAATAAAAGAAATGAATTAGATAATTTCTGAGCTCAAATCCTGCCGTATTTCATAAGATATTAATGTTATTATCTGGTGAGTTTGAAGTGAAAATTTGTTTCAGTTATTTAGAGATATATTGTTAAAAAAGGTGACATGGTTGCTACATTTTGAATAACTCGCTTTTTGGCAGTCTTGATACGGCCTCTTTCCATAAGTTTATTACTGTTTGTTCTTGTTGCAAGCTGTGCACCATCTTACGTTAGTGTTAGCACTTTTAGCAATGTAAACAGAAGTATTGTTAATATTGTAAACACAAGTAATAAGTAATCAAATACATTGTTTGCAAGAATCTCAAAACACAATGATGCCAAATGGCTTTAAGACAAACAGTAACCCGGAAATTTAGGCGATACCGAGCTTGCAACGTTCCCTAGTGTAGAAAACACCATCCATATAGCGTTGCATAATAAGCTGTAGTAAGCAGCTGTATACTTTGCAACCGGAAGAAGAGTAGTTCAAGAGCTCGGGATTGTTCTTGTTTACATTTACATTGAAAACACCATGCATATGCAAAATAAATTAAATTCTAATCAAAATTTTATTTTTTACGCTTGTGCAACTGTCTATTTTTATTTTTATTTTTATTTTTAAAAAAGAGAAGTTTTACAATCTTACATAATTTTTACTGTGAATTCCTTGGCTCATTATGTTACATCAAAATGACCGAGAAGTCACCATGTGAGGATGGTTGCACTTTCATTTATACCCACACCCTGTCCTACGGGTGCAGTTCCTACCCAATCAACCATTCCATTTTACCGTGTGGTATTTACACTATATTTACAGCTATTCACAAAGACTTAGAATAGACTTTGATTCTTTTAGTTTACTGTATGGTTAAGGTTCCTTTTTTGTATGAACTACACGTTTAAAGTATAGTCAGATTTTTGGAGAAACCAGGCATATACTTAATTGTTGCTCGAATATCCATCTTCATGTTCACAAACTTCATTAGAATAGCTTCTGTCACAAGTTTGACGCACTTTCCCACAGGAAATGAGTGATTTAAAGCATTCCGAACATTGAATCTGTCTTCGGTACTACGAAAATTCTAAAATCCTTTTTTTTGTAATGATTTGCCCTGCTTTTAATTTTAATATTCTTCTTATATACAACTTAAGGAGTCAGTTGACAACAGTTAGCCATCTAGAATATGAAACGATTTGGATAAGTCTTCGGGACAGTGCCCGAAAGGCATTGACTTTAAAATGTCTTACAGATATTACTGATTGACAGGAACTTGATGAGCTAATTTCGAATATCATTCTATAGAAGATGTTACTACTGTTTTTCGTAGTTTGTAGTGTAGTGAGTAGTGCGGTACAAAAAAAAAAAAATCCGTAGTTTGTAGCAATTTCTGGCAACTACTTTTAACGTTAGTTTAATAATTTTTCAAATTGGATGTCTTCAAATCTTCACGGGTCAGTCAATGGATGCAATGAAAATGATCCTGTGACTGTAGCTGAGCGTTAAGTGAAATTACGTATTTGAAATCACGTATAACTAATATTGAAACTAGCCATTACGAAAATTAAATAATTAATCACTTTAATCACACTTTCACATGCGAATGCACAGTCGTGAAGCATGGATGTTATTTCAACGGAAGAGAACTTATTTTTGAGGTACCTTATTCCTTAGAGGAAATAAAAGAGTGTTAAGCACTTAACAAAATTTCAAGTATTTGATAATTTCGCATATCTTAAATTAAATATTCGCTTTCGAAAAAGGCATAAAAAGTAGAAGGTTAAATGAAAAAAAAAATTTTTTTTTTTGAATAACTGACTTATGTAAATATGAATAAATATTTTTTAATTATTCCCTAATATTTAATGTCAGACAATTTCTCATTCAAAACCACATAGCGTAAGTGTAAAATACGTTCTCCAGCAAAGTTCGCCACCTTAAAGTAGTGAAGTAGTTAATAAAATTCCAAAGTAGTTTATAGTCACTATATTTAAAAAAAAAAAAGTAGTTGTAGTAAGCTACGAAAATAATGTAGTTTTTCCGATCACTGGATGAGATGAAAGAAGAAAGCTTACCTTGCAAAAGAGTCTCATTGCAATGGTGGGTAATCCAGATGAAGATATTAGGGAAATGAACTTTCACTATTCTTTAACATTTGCTTTATATATGTCAATAAGGAAATCAGCTGATGGATGACCGCAAATTGCTTGAAGCCATATTTTCGACTAATCGAGAAAAAAATAACACCTCCGGTCTTCAGTTCGAATGGTAAATGCTAATTGATGATAATTGAGACAAACACGAGATTCAAAACGATGATCTCGAATCGAATTGTGAAATACTCAATATCTGGACCGATTTACCAGATTCGGGTCTCTTTGCTGGACAACGCATTTTGGGGGTATCTATCTATCTATCTATCTATATATATTATATATATATA